TCATCAGTTGATAAGGAGGATGTCGGCTGCCTGCACACCATCCTAGTTTGACCCTCCCCCGCCCTTCTCCATCAGTGCTGGGGTCACTTTAGCTCAGTGTTGGAGAAAAACTGAGGGAGAGGAGAAACACTGGAATACTAGTCAGTACCAGTGTGCAAAAGTGTATTTGCTTTGTAAGATTAAATCCCCTCTAATGTTGGGTGTCCTACACTTGTGGATGTTGCTGCATTATATGCGACTATTAGAATATTTTTTTACATTTTAGAATGGGATGCCCTTTTAAAATTATGGACAGTCTTGAGGGACCCTATTTTAGAATGGGGTGCCTCAAGACTGTCCATAATTTTAAAGGGTGCCTCGGGACTGTCCATAATTTTAAAGGGTGCTTTGACTGAAAAAAGGTTGAGAAACACTGGTCCAGCTCAACCCGAACTATCCTCAGTGATGAGGGCAGGAGTGTAGTCAATGGAAACAAACATACAGAAATTTTGGAAACCTTCATTAAATAACATTAGAGAGATCAGTTAATTAATGAGTATATTGGACCAGATCACAAAGAATGCTGGGAATAAGTTCCCGCTGGTCCCCTCCCAAAGGGGTAAGGCAGGAGGGTTTCATATAATGGAGACCCCAGACAACGACCCTTCACCAATTTCCCACCATGCAGGGATATTTATGGAGGGTTGAGCACGAGATTAAGCAGAAACGTTAGCGTTGGCAGTAGAAGAGGATTCCAACCAGAAATCCCAAACTTTATGAAATGTTTTTGGGCAACCTCGGGAGAAGTATGTCATTTTATATAGGTGAATCAGTGTGTTGACCAGCTTCTTCCAATGGCCTAAGGTAGGAGGGCTGTCAGATTTCCAGGTCAACACTATGGCCTTCAACACTATGGCCTTCAACACTATGGCCTTCAACACTATGGCCTTCAACACTATGGCCTTCAACACTATGGCCTTCAACACTATGGCCTTCAACACTATGGCCTTCAACACTATGGCCTTCAACACTATGGCCTTCAACGCAATGGCCTTTCTAGCATAAAAAAAGGAGTAGACTTCGTGATATTCTGGAAGCCCTAGAGAAAGCCAACTGGTTGGCCAGACCCAGTAGGCAAACTGACACCGTGAGGGGACAGACATTGTGGTGACCAAGCAGATGAAGTGGAGGACATCCATCCAAGATGTTTATATATGGGTGCAGGACCAAAAAAATGTGGAAAAAGTCCGTTGGGCGTCTCCACATCTCCAACAGTTTGCGTCTTCGGTAGGGTAAATTCTGTGGAGGCGCTGCAGAATGAAATATGCCATATAAAGTGTTTTGAACTGAATTAACCTATCTCTAGTAGCTACAAAATTGGTAAAGGGGTATTCACAAATGTCTTCCCCATCCAGCTCCGGCACCTCCGTCCACCCCCTCTGTTGAAGGGACCAGGCACTCCAGGATTGACAGCCCATTTATTTCAGTGAGGAACAAGTAACCACTTGCAAGCACTTTTTCAGATTGCACTGCACCAAACTGCATAGTACCACAGTAGCTTGCGGTTTGGTGGCCGTAAAGACGAAGCATTTGCGAGATGCGTTTGGGGTGTTCATTCATTGGCAGCCAAGCATGTCTTGCAAGAGCAGTGAGTTGACGTGTGGTGAGGAACACATGCATGGAATGCACCTTTCCTGTGTCACGTTCCAGTGTGAATGGACCCTCAATGCGCTGCCGAACACACGGGAACGCGCAAGAAGTAGGGCAGGCATGACTTTTACAATTGTGCTTCACCAGACCGCATTGTACTGTGATATCATGCGGTTTGGTGGCCGTAACGTGCCCACATTTGGTAAAAGGATAAAAAGCTCCCTCGGTTTTTACTCTTTGGGAGGGGTTTGCTTAGGAAAGTGGATCGGTATTGCTGGACCCCAGGGTTGTGTTGAGTTCTTAGTAGGCAGCTTCTACACCTCTGAAAATTTCCATCTTCTTTGGTTTGTAGTTAAAAACAGCAGACCTAAGATTGAAGTGCCTCACCCCAGATCAATAATTCTGATACAATTATTTCCAGTGTACGTTCACATACAAAGTCAAAAAGAGGAAGCCAGTGTATTTCAGGGATCCAAAAATTCATCAGGGATTGAGCCGGAGAACAGTGTTTATGGACTGAATTAAGAGTCACCCCCGGTTCACATCTATGCGGCCGTGCGGGCTGCGTTTTGCACGGGCACAAGAGCCCATTCATTTGAATGGACTCCCGTGCCCGTGACATGCAGGGAAGAAGTCCCTGCACTTCTTTGGAAAACGCAGCCCGCACCAGAACCTCGGTTCCCAGTACGGTTGCGTTTTCCAGTGCGGGCAGCGTGCCATTAGAACTAATGGCACCCGCCCGTAGGTCCGCATTTCTCTGTGCGGGTGGTGCGGCTGCACGGATTTTCGTGCGGATCCGCAGCGGCACCACCTCACAGATGTGAACCTAGGGTCAATGTTTTGGTCTCTTTTACACCGCCTCTCATTCCAACATGACGTGTCTAGGGTTTCTAATGGATCTGTTGGTTGTTGTTCTAGGAGTTGGCAGGCACAGGCCTCTAGCATTGCATGTACAGTTTGGGGACACTTGATATCTCTTTGCTTTCTGACAATGCTGTGTGTGAGCTGCCCAGCTCTTTTTATTGTATGTATGGACTTGAGTATCTGACTCTTTGTCTGTCTCTCTCCTTAGATTCTCCTGTTAGATTTTCCAGGACAATCGTTTTCCTGGCAGTCCTCTGACAGACCAGCAATGACCAGGTGAGGATATTATTGCATTGTATGAACTGTCAGTATTATTAGTTATTTAATTGCATGTCCTAGTGGAAAGTGGTCCGTAGCCTTGGAGATGATCCAAGGAAGGAGGATCCTACTTGTCTTTCTGGCAAGACGCTTGAAGAAAGTGGTGTTTTTCATTGGTATGGAATTAAAGTGTAACTCCACCTTTTCAGCATGCTTCACCCATATTTATACAGATCTGTAGTTCTCTGCTCTGCACTGATCACTGCACTTGTAGTCCATTGGCACTTTCTCCAGTTCTTCAACTGAAAGCTGGTACCTCTGTACAGGCAGCTGGAGGAAGAGTCTGCAGGAGCCTGGCACAGCAATACTTTGCAGGCCCCTGTGTAATAAAATTTAATTGATGCTGCAATAAAATACTGCACTATATACCATTTCTGGGCTCCTGTGGTGAGCTATTTTCCCTAGGAGAGGGTCCACCTCCATTTTTGCCTGTGGCGGAGCAGTCCAAGTTAGAATCTTCCGGCAGTCCTCTGGTTCCCTGATGTGATGTGCATGCATGCTATTTACCAGTAGCTTTCTGGTGAGTTTACATTTGGCAGAGGTGGTGGATTCCCTCACTGGTCTATTATCACAGTTTTATTCTTCACCGTGATTGCTGTGCCTTGTAGTTCCACGGACACGAATATTATTATACAGTATTTATATAGTGCCAACAGTTTGCTCAGCGCTGTACACTACAATGGGAGACAATACATGAGACAGTACAATAACAATACAATGCGATACATGAGGGGTTCGAGGGCCCTGCTCCTTGGAGCTTACAATCTAGGAGGGAGGGGATAGTGGTACAGGAGGAATAGCTGTGGGGGATGGAGTGGTAGGAATAGTGGAGAAGATCGGCAATTAGCAGGGGGCGGGGTAGGCTTCCTTGAAGAGGTGGGTTTTCAGGATGCGCCTAAAGGAGAGAAGAGTAGGTGACAGTCTGATGGATTGGGGTAGGGAGTTCCAGAGGATGGGTGACACCCTGCAGAAGTCCTGGAGGCGGACATGGGAGGAGGTGACCAGGGAACTAGAGAGAAGGAGGTCTTGTGAGGAGCGGAGTGTGCGTGTTGGGCGGTATTTGGATATCAGGTCGGTGATGTCGTTTGGGTCAGTATGGTGGACAGCTTTGTATGTCAGTGTTAGGATTTTGAATTTGATCCGTTGGGGAATCGGAAGCCAGTGTAGGGATTGGCAGAGGGGATGGCGGAAACGGAGCCGTTGGTAAGGTGGATGATTCTGGCTGCCGTATTCAGGATCGACTGAAGCGGGGATAGCCTGTGGTGAGTTAGGCCAGTGAGGAGGGAGTTGCAGTAGTCGAGTCGTGATATGATAAGGGAGTGAATGAGTACATTTTATACATTTATGGACTGTATTTATTTCACTTTATATGTTTCATGATATGATACTATTTATTCATTTAGCACTGCACTTTATACTATATATCTTATAAGGGGTTGTTACCTTCACCTTGTGTGCTAGCTGCTTTATATTTGCTCCCAGCGCTCGCCTATATACAACATAATAAAATATAGGGAATGCAGGGTCCGGGTGGACCAGATGTAGGGAACAGGGTCCGGGTGGACCAGATGTAGGGAATGCAGGGTCCGGGTGGACCAGATGTAGGGAATGCAGGGTCCGGGGGAGACCGGATATGGTGAATGCAGGGTGTGGGGTTTAGTAACATGTTAAGTAATTTTTCTTCACTGATGAGGCTGCACTGATAGACTGCACTGGTTGGCATTGATGGGGCTGCACTGATCAGGGCACTGATGATTGTGCCCTCATTGTTGGTGTAAACTATGTACTGATAGCTTTGCCAGTTTCTCCGTTTCTCACACAGACACAGCGTGAGGTAAGGACTGCCTATAACCGGCAAGTCTGTTTACATGTGATCAGCTGTCATTGGGCACAACTACTCATATAGTAAAGGGCAGCTGTGATTGGCCCTACCTATAACCATGGGGCGGGGCTCTGAGAGGATGTCCATGGAAGCCCTCCCAGTACTGGACAACCACGTTATAACCGTTGTTCAGCTATAGTGCGGTTAGCAAATGGTGAAACAACTGGGTGCAAACAATGTCAGCTTGTTATGCCATATGATCATTAGAATACACAGTGGAGTTGAAATAATGTGTTTTTTTTCCATATTCAGGTGTTTGTATGCCGCTTGCCAGTGTCTATAAAAAAGTGATTTTTTTGTTTTTTAAAGCTCTCCGGTGTCCCGCGTAGTTTATAACGGCAAGCGCCCCACAAGCAGCACACGCTCTCCAAGCAGCAGCGAGATATTCACACCAGCTCATGAGGAGAATGTACGTTTCATTTATGAAGGTGAGAGCCCATTAGAGGGACCTTGTCACTTTTTACTCTTGCAGATACCATCACTGTCTCCTTCTAGGCAATCCTATAGATTTGTGCACATGGGCCACATCCGATGTCTATATCTATGGGATTTCTTCCACTTGGCTACGAAACGATTTCCTGGTGTGGGTGAGGCAAAGTAAATGAGTCTGCTGTATTTGGCAAAAGTTCATTAAAACTGCTGCAACATGCTCATTATACCCTGCCTGACTCAAAGGGGTCGCCTCGTTTTGGGTATTATGTGTGAAAGGCTTTGGTGATAACCAGTCACGCATTTCTTTATGTTCTCGTTCTTCATCAGCATGGCAGAGTGTGGAGCGGGACCTGAGAAACCAAGTGTCTGGTGGGGACCGCGGATTTGTGGAAGAGTACGTGGAAAAGCAGCCAAGCAACAACCTGAAATGTAAGTCCTGCTATTTCAAGACATCCTAAGTCCTGTCATTTTATGTAGCTCAGCCTGCATCTAGGTAGTTGTACGCTCACACCTTGAGAATAGGCTGGCATGCAGCTTTTTAACAGAGTGCAGTTCAGGGGTACTTGACTTTATAGTATATAGGAGCTACCATTTGTAAACTGACTAAGGCGGGTGATCAAAGGGTTAACCGTGTGCTGTTTTACTACGTGTGTGCTGTGTGTGTTTTTACTAGGGAAACATGCTGCTTTGTATTGCTCTATGCAGAGCACCCGACGGGAGGTAGCTGTGTTTTTTTACAAACAGACCTCTACCCTGTCACTGTTCCTCGGCGATCACCAGATGCCGGCGGGGAATCTCCGGTCAGGACTTGGTGATCAACATCTGTAGCCGCCAATGACGGTGTGGGGTAGGGTAGGGTAGTGCACGCGCTTCCTTCCCGGAAATGCAAAATCACAATCAAAGGGTTAACTGTGTGCTGTTTTATTATGTGTGTGCTGTGTGTGTTTTAATAGGGAAACATGCTGCTTTGTATTGCTCTATGCAGAGCAGCAGCTGACGGGACAGAGCTGTGTTTTTTTACAAACAGACCTCTCCCCTGTCACTGTTCCTTGGCGATCACCAGATGCCAGGGGGAATCTCCGGTCGGGACTTGGTGATCAACATCTGTAGCCGCCAATGACGGTGTGGGTAGGGTAGGGTAGCGCACGCGCTCCCTTCCCGGAAATGCAAAATCACAATCAAAGGGTTAACTGTGTGCTATTTTACTATGTGTGTGTGTGCTGTGTGTGTTTTATTAGGGAAACATGCTGCTTTGTATTGCTTTGCTATGCAGAGCAGCTGTCAGGAGAGAACTGTGTTTTTTTACACACAGACCTCTCCCCTGTCACTGTTCCTCGGCGATTGCCAAGTGCCGGCAGAGAATCTCCGGCCAGGACCCGGTGAACAACATCTGTAGCCGCCAGTGGCGGTGCGGGTAGGGTGGCACGCGCGCTCCCTTCCCGGAAATGCAAAATCACAATCAAAGGGTTAACTGTGTGCTGTATGTGTTTTACTAGGGAAACATGCTGCTTTGTATTGCTCTATGCAGAGCAGCTGACGGGAGAGAGCTGTGTTTTTTACACACAGACCTCTCCCCTGTCATTGTTCCTCGGCGATCACCATGTGCCGGCGGGGAATCTCCGGTCGGGACCTGGTGATCAACATCTGTAGCCGCCAATGACGGTGTGGGTAGGGTGGCACATGCGCTCCCTTCCCAGGAAATGCAAAATCACAATCAAAGGGTTAACTGTGTGCTGTTTTACTATGTGTGTGCTGTGCTATGCAGAGCAGCTGTCGGGAGAGAACTGTGTTTTTTACACACAGACCTCTCCCCTGTCACTGTTCCTTGGTGATCGCCAGATGCCGGCAGGGAATCTCTGGCCGGGACCCGGCGATCAACATCTGTAGCCGCAAATGGCGGTGCGGGTAGGATGGCATGCGCGCTCCCTTCCCGGAAATGCAAAATCGCGTATATATACGTGATTTCGCGCAGCCCTGCCGCCCTGTAGCAGTAGTTCTGCTATAGGGCGGTCGGTAACCAGTTCCTTCTTTCCGGTAACAAGTGGAACTACGCAGTATTTCAGCACCACAAACCAAAAACACTATTTAACTAATTTTTATTATTCAAAGCAAACTCCTCCATCCATCCATGTCTTCAGGCCTTATTTTACTGAGAAATCACTTAAAAAAACAACCCCTAGCATTTTTGGCCATATTGAGTAACAGCAGACAATTCATGTAGCATTTACTTCCTGGAATCCATCTGCCCTTAGCTCAGACATGCAGGCAGGAGGGTGTGTTTTAACAGAGAAAACCCCTCACCTCCTGAAGACTCCTGGGATGTATGACATAATTTGCCTAGGCCAAAAACCAGGAAGTAAATGAAGAAAAGTAAAAAAAAATGTTTAAAAACAAGTAAATGTGATATACTTTCCTATCTATTTACGAACTTTAGCAGCATAAGGATTACAAATAGTCAATCTTGATGGAGAGAGTGAAGTTTGCTTTAAAAAAACGTAGAAAACTCGGTTTTGTAAGTTTTCCTTACTGGTAAGCTTCATAATAAAGCTTACCTTTTATTATTTTTTTTATTACTTATATAGCGTCGTCAATTTACACAGCACTTTACATATATATTGTACATTCACATCAGTCCCTAACCCTCAAGGGGCGTACAATCTAAGGTCCCTAACTCACATTCATACATACACATACTAGGGACAATTTAGACAATTAACCTACCAGCATGTCTTTGGAGTGTGGGAGGAAACCAGAGTACCCGGAGGAAACCCACGCAAGCACAGGGAGAACATGCAAACTCCAGGCAAGTGGTGGGAGGCTGGGATTCTAACCAACGACCTGAGTACTGCCAGGCGGAAGTGCTAACCATTACCTGTAGGTGAAATGAATATCTTCTAAATGTGCACCATTTCGGAGATATTCCATCAAGCAGCAGTCAGTGACATCACCCGGCACATGCGCACTGAAGGAACGGCATACCTGTTTAATCTTGACTTTCCCTGTAAAAGATGAGCTTTATGCATATTTTCTTACAAAAGTATTCAAGTCCACCCAACACTGGCCCTGCGTTGATGCATGCCTGTATGAGTGTGATAGGGACATTAGATAGGTAAGCTCCTTCGATGGTAGGGATGGATGTGAACAGATTACATTTCTCTTTAACCACTTGCCAACAGGGCACTTATACCCCCTTCGTGCCCGGATCAATTTTCAGCTTTCACTGCTGTTGCATGACCGCTCAATTGTCTTTCAAACTGCAACACTGTACCCATGTGAAATTTTTTGCATTGGTTTTTTTCTTTCACACAAATAGAGCTTTCTTTTGGTGGCATTTAATCACCACCAGGGGCGGACTGGCCATTTGGAAACTAGGGCACTGCCCGAGAGCCCGGGGTGAGTAGGGGGCCCCATGAGATGTCCCTGGTACCTTTTTCATAGGCTTTTTGAGTTTGGGCAAGGACACAGGGGCCCCATGATCCCCTATTGCCCGGGGGCCCCATGAGTTGTCAGTCTGCCCCTGATCACCACTGGGTGTTTTTTTTTTTTTTTTTTTTTCAGATTTTTTAGCTCTTTTTTTGTTTATAGTGCAAAAAAATAAAAGTTTTTCTTTGTTTCTATTATAAAATTTTGCAAACAGGTAATTTTTCTCCTTCGCTGATGTGCGTTGATGAGGTGGCATTGATGGGCACTGATAGGCTACGCTGATGAGGTGGCACTGATGATGCTGCACTGATAGGCAGCACTGATGGGCACTGAGTGGCGGCACCGATGGGCGCAACTACTGGGTGACGCTAATGGGTGGCACTGTGGGGCAGCACTGATCATGCCCTGATCAGTGCCGATCTTCTCTGTGACAGCTGCCAGTTATCGGCACTACTTTCCAGTGAGGAAAGTGCTGCCGATAACTGACAATTGTATTTACTCTGTGGTCTGCTGTGTCATTGGACACAGCTGATCACGTTGTCATTGGACACAGCTGATCACGTTGTCATTGGACACAGCTGATCACATTGTCATTGGACACAGCTGATCACGTTGTCATTGGACACAGCTGATCACGTGGTAAAAGGCCGCTGTGACTGGCTTTTGACCTCATCACGTGACTGGCCTTTGACCTCATCACATGACTGGCCTTTGACCTCATCACATGATCAGCTGTGTCCTATGGACACAGCGATCACAGAGATCGCCAAGTGCATGCCCCTCCCTGGGTACCTGCGCTGCAGCCGTCATACGGCTATATAGCACGGTTTCCAAGTGGTTAAAGCACTGTGATATACAGTATGTTGGCCCTATATGAATAAAACAAATGTATATATATATATTCTAGTGCATGGATCTCTATTGCAGGTAGAGAATATGTTTGATATTGCGCTTTCTTGATTTGCCTATGTGGATCAGTAAACCAATTTAACGGGTTTCCTTTCTGTTCCCCCTTTAGCTTTTAAACCAGTTGATCTTAACGACCTGAAGAGGAGAAGCACACAAGACCCCAAGAAGTCATAATTTTCTTACAGCTGCTCGACTTTTTTCCAACTGGCACAATTGGGACTCACCTCCTTTTCCATTTGGTCGTCCATTACTGACATAACGAAGCTTCTTTGAGACTGTACTGTGTGGACTAGGCAGAGATTTTCTGCGTCGCCTCCCCTCCCCTCCCCCCTCCTTCCTTATATTCCCTTCCCCAATAAGAAGAGAAAACTCTTTCCCTACACCCTTGTTTGTCCTTCCCCTTTAATCCGTGCGTCTAAAGTCTAAAAACTGATGAATTTCCCCTTTTTAATCCTTATTTAACCAACTGAGATTCTGACTGAGGGTGGTATTACATATTTATGTAGTAGCTGGGTCCATGTTCAATCCCAGCATCAAAGTTCCATAGGTCAACTGGCTATTAAATGGCTCATCATACCATGTTCAGCTGTTGTCCTGCAATACCATCCAGACTAATCCTTCTATTAAAAATGAAAACAAAAAACAAGAGGCCTTCCAGTGTACTCAAATTTGGATCAATGACAAAGGGCGGCAAAGCAATGTGAGTATACAGACTGGACTGTAGGAAAATTGATCCTAGACAAGAAAGAATATAATAATCATTGTTTTGAAGAAAATATTTTCTTTTGTAAGATGGTGCAAAGAAACAGTCTACATTCAAAGCCCTTAGCCTAGTGCCTTGAGCTTTAAAGTGTTACTAAACCCAGGACCCTGCATTCACTATATCCGGTCTCCCCGGACCCTGCATTCACTATATCCGGTTTCCCCGGACCCTGCATTCACTATATCCGGTTTCCCCGGACCCTGCATTCACTATATCCGGTCTCCCCGGACCCTGCATTCACTATATCCGGTCTCCCCGGACCCTGCATTCACTATATCCGGTCTCCCCGGACCCTGCATTCACTATATCCGCTCTCCCCGGACCCTGCATTCACTATATCCGCTCTCCCCGGACCCTGCATTC